TATATCGCTATCAGTGTTGTAGGGGAACACTTTGTAGTAGGTTATATCGCTATCAGTGTTGTATGGGAACCCTTTGTAGTAGGTTATATCGCTATCAGTGTTGTATGGGAATACTTTGTAGTAGGTTATATCGCTATCAGTGTTGTATGGGAACCCTTTGTAGTAGGTTATATCGCTATCAGTGTTGTATGGGAATACTTTGTAGTAGGTTATATCGCTATCAGTGTTGTATGGGAACCCTTTGTAGTAGGTTATATCGCTATCAGTGTTGTAGGGAAACACTTTGTAGTAGGTTATATTGATATCAGTGTTGTAGGGGAACACTTTGTAGTAGGTTATATCGCTATCAGTGTTTTAGGGGAACACTTTGTAGTAGCTAGGTTATATCGCTATCAGTGTTGTAGGGGAACACTTTGCAGTAGGTTATATATCGCTATCAGTGTTGTAGGGGAATACTTTGTAGTAGGTTATATATCGCTATCAGTGTTGTAGGTGAACACTTTGTAGAAGGTTATATATCACTATCAGTGTTGTAGGTGAACAATTTGTAGTAGGTTATATATCGCTATCAGTGTTGTATGGGAACACTTTGTAGTAGGTTATATCGCTATAAGTTTTGTAGGGGAACACTTTGTAGTAGGTTATATCGCTATAAGTTTTGTAGGGGAACACTTTGTAGTAGGTTATATCGCTATCAATGTTGTAGGGGAACACTTTGTAGTAGGTTATATCACTATCAATGTTGTAGGGAAACACTTTGTAGAAGGTTATATATCACTATCAGTGTTGTAGGTAAACAATTTGTAGTAGGTTATATATCGCTATCAGTGTTGTATGGGAACACTTTGTAGTACGTTATATCGCTATCAGTGTTGTAGTTGTCTTTCGTTGCTTCTTCTCAGTGTCTGTATAAAAACACGTCACCACAGAACGTGTTTACTGCAACCGTGTTATATTGATAATAATCAACAGAGATTATTAATTTTTCGTTTCATGTTGTATTTAAAGTTTGATAAATCATTGAAAATGTCCAAGGGATAAACATTTTTGTTACTGTATCATAGCTATCAACATATACAGATTGTATAATTAACTTCAACAAAGGTATCAAATGTCATCTTAACATTATTGTATGCGAGGGTACATCAAACAAACGTATTGAGGAGTTACCTAATATTAATATGTAGTTAATAAACTGAGCGTATAGGTGATCTAACAACACTGTGAGAAAGTTAAATATAATTACAAGTCACCTAATATTAATGTGTTGTGGAGTTACTACAATCTGTGTAAAATATGATTTATTTCATGTGTGAAACACAGTTAGTTGACTTACCATATACATAAGTAAAAATAGACAATCGGACAGGTTGATTTTTTCTCTATTCACATGTATTCTGAGGTCGATTCTGCTGGAAATGTATGGGTCCTGTATGTCTGGTTTTTCATTTCAAATAATTACTTAATGAGTGATAAATTACTGTGGAAGAATTCAAAACTCAGATTCAAATATTTGTATGCAAATCTGCACTACATGTTTAATAATGTAACGAGCGAGGTGATTCATCGCAGTTGAAATAGTCACCTATTTGATAGATTTGGTTCATAGCCCTTTGTGTAGTGATTTGACGTGCTGGTCAAACGTTGTGAGGACCGAGACTGTCAGATATGAAAAGTCAACGACAGGAACCGAGAAAGCATATCAACAAATGGAGAGGAATCATGAACGAAAAAACCCGGATGACAATTAATTTCCTGTACCACGGCATGCTAAATATCGTCAGATTCAGGAAAGCAAGTAGATCATCAAATATCAAAGACATGTTCACCGTATTTATCATAGTAGATAAACATTTTGGGACATCTTTGTCAGGATGACAACCATGGAACCGGTAAAATATACCTTGATTAAAAAGCGTATTTGTAGACACTTCGCGACTGATATATATGTAACCCCGATAGAAGACTTGTCAACCATCTGCGACTCTTTACTATCAAAGCAACAAAGAAAGGTTAATAACTGTTGAGGGAAGGATAAAAGGAAGAATAACGTACCACATTGGCAATACATAAGTCAAATATTAACTCAAAATCAACAACAGTAACTTAGGAAACAAGGAGCTAAACACTTTACAAAACCTAAGAGGACTGTATGCACGGACGTCTGTTGACTTGACATCACTCCAGCCACATCTATATCTGTACGGATTTGGCCTTATCTTACGTGATACTTAGGCATCAGAATACCTCAGAGGAGGCAGCTGGGTTCCAGAGTGTAAAAATATAGCTAAATGATTGAACGGATTTTTATTTGAATTATATAATAACATGGGAATACTTCGGACTCATTTTTGTTTAGGTTACAGTACAATGGATAGAAATGTATTTCTATCATATTTGACATATCAACAAACGTCATGTTTGTATTTTTTCAGATAGATAAAATGGGACGGGTATTTCGGTCCTGATTCAATTTCTGGGAGAGTCCGATTTCCGGAACCAAATACTGAAGTATATTTCGAGAACTTTTTTCCTTTGTTGTCAAGATTAACTTGTCAAACAGCGTTAGCTACATACAAATATTTCTTTTACCACGTAAACTGTCAACTAGTAGGTCATTTTACAAAATTAAGATAAGATCGTTATTTGTCTCTAGGGTTTTCAGCAGGGTATCGTTTGGTGTTTTACGTGTAGGTACAATTTTGTCTACATCAAAGTTCTGTCTCCAGACCAGGAACATAGGACATAATACTATTGTACACTGGTACAGGTATATAACCGATGTTCAGTAATTATCTAAGTAACTGCTCAAGCTGATATAACCATGTTGATAAGTCTGCATTGCCATTTACAGTCTCTTCAGAGTTTATTTCTAATATCAAGCATTTTAGATATCGGGAGTTACCTGTAATAAAAAAATCTTTTCCATAATTTCCGAAATATTAGGAATATTGAGGGTGATATTTGTTCCATATTTTTTATTATTTGTTCCCTTTTGGAAATCATCTGTTGCTTATTATGTGCAATAATCAATTCAAATGTATACTTCTGATGGCGCTTTTTATTTATTTATTTTTTAATTACAGTTTCGAATGTATTTGTTGACGTTATTTTTTTTCCAGTTTATCAATAATGCATATCTTATTTAATATATTTAACGTTATTGTTTTCAATATCTGAAACCAGGCGTATCTTCCAAACATAATTACAGCATAAAACAAACTGTGTGAATAAAAGCGAATACCAATATAAAATGACGTCTGACATGGCATACGTTACTATGGGTAATGCGAAGCATGTGCAACACACATGCAGGTACACTCCTTATCTTCTCCGTTCTCTTTAAAAAAAGTACTTTTGAATCATACGTCGTTACAGAAATGCAAGTGTCTGGAACAAACGTCAAGTGACCAGGCGGTCAAGTGAAACATCATGGGGCACGTATGCATCCGGTATGGAGTTTCATTAGTAATACGCTAGCTTTGGGGAAGTGTAAGATTGGAAAATTCGGCCGGAAATGGCTGAAATTTCACAACCGCCATAAAACTGATATCTACTGACAAATACCTTCTCGACAGACATGCAGTCACTGCACAGCAGTGTTTATACATGTTGATGTAACAGCTGTCAGCTTATCATTGTTTACCGGAAGTACACGTGACCCCATATCACGTGACAAGTGCTTCTCAACACCTTTATAATTCGGAGTGAAAGATCATATCAAAAACGACGTATTACTGAATTCTTAGTGCATACATTTGCACTCTATCCCCCAGTAGCACTTTGCGTGTTTATGTATTTCCTTTAATATGTACATACTTTGTTCTACACACTCCTAAATAGTAAATACTTCAATCTTTTTGTTCTACGATTAATTAGAATATTATCTCATGAATCGCTGTTTCATTTTATGACTCATTGGGAACATATTCCATATTTATACCAATTCCCAATCTACTTTTTTTGTTAAAAAAAAATGTGAATGTGTAGAGTGTAAAATCGTGAAGCACATGTAGTATACAAATTCCGTCTCTGAACTAGATGATCCATCCTGGACAGACTAATACGCTTAATACGGATTTATCTGAAAACCGCGACTTAATTTTATTTTTGAAGGTAATAAAAAAGTCTATTTTTTACCTGGTACATCATTACTGATTGGTTATCATGTTCCGAAATAGCGATGATTGTCTTCTAGCTAAAATGCAGATATAAAGGGTAAAACTTCCCTTTCCAATATCTTACCACAACAGTCATACTCCCTGTATTGATGACCGCCGATCCCGCCGAATCATTCATTGTTGTGTGTGTTGGCGTTGTTGTGTACCGTAAACCTACTTTTATTTACATTGCCTTACATCGATGATTATATTTAAATGAACGTGCATCATCGATGGCTAATGTTTAGATTTTTACTTTCTTAACAGAGAACACATTTGCTTATCATTTTGTTCACTTCGTCTTTATAACGGCCGTCCACAACATCGCCTTTTGATCATTCATTCATTGCGTGTCAGTTCTGTTCAATTCGTCCTTAATATGTTTCTTTCTCTTTATCCGCATTTAGCCAAATAAAGTCCATGGAAACTTCACGATATTTTGATTCCTTGTCAGAAACGCTGTCTTAAAGGTATACTCATGCTTGAAAACAATCCTCATTCAAAGTTACACTTTAAGGCTGTTAGACGGGGAACCTAACCTTCAATAGTAGCTTTCTATAGGAAACATTTAGTTAACGAATTTGTTGAAGTTGAGGAATATTCGTAAAAATTGGACAGCTATCTATATAATGTACATAGATCCAGTAATATTTGAAGGTTTGTATGAAATAGCACTTTTGAATGTATGCGAACAGAAATGCATCACATATGATTGCCGTTTAAGTTAGTATGACTATAATAATAATTTGTAATTTTACAATAAGTATACATACAGTTAGGACTAAAAGAAGTCCCTATTTTGACACGTGGTGCAATAATGAACTGGTTTTTATATTACAGGTTTTAAAGATGCTTATCCTGGTGGTCCTCATGTTTGGGATCTGTTGGCTTCCGCTCCACGTGTTCATTATGGTGGTGAACTTTAACCCGGAAATACTTCGATATAAATCAGCAGATGAAGAACACTTCTATCTCGGAATGTACTTAGCAATTCACTGGCTTGCGATGTCTAACAGTTTCGCAAACCCTTTCATATATGGATTCTTCAACGAAAGCTTTAGGGTAAGAACACAATGGAGACGAAAACAATAACAATAAACGTCTACTCACTCAAGCTTATGGCTAATTGAAAAATAGTAATCCGTGTATATATATATCAATGCTTTTAAATTGCCTTATTTAATGAGACAATGTTTTTTTTTGTAATTGGTAAATACATCATACATTGGTTCCTATTGTAATTGTCGTGCCGAAATGTCCACCCGTGACATAAATTGTTCAGTTTGTCTAATGGCAATGCCAGGCTGCCGTATGACCGACATGTCATACTGCTCTTGCAACCAGCGAGTACATAATACATTGGCGGTATCTACTTCTCCTCTATTTATTTGATGTGAATGTAAATGTAATTTACCGTGACTCTCAAAGTGCATTTCCTTCAAGGTTCAGTGCACAAATAGCAAATCATCGTAGTAATTGATGTTACAATGTTTCCAACCTGTTTTCATGCAAGTTCAATGTTGTATTTGCCCAGGTCTTTATCATCGGCATGTTTTAGATTGATTGTTTCCAAATATGTACAACATGGATATAAGGAACACTAAATAGATACACAATTGAAAGCGATTAAAGTGAAGGCTTGGAAACACTGAACCTCGTTATAATACAGAAAACCATAATAATGAAATACTGAGGTAATAAACGTGCGTCCTTCTACAGACAGTTGGAAATTTCAAAAATGGTAGACATCGTGATCTTATAAAATGGTAAAGTAATTGATTTTTTAAAAATCTGAACTTTTATTTTCTCGATATAATGACCGGTAAGCTGATTTCGAGATAGCATGGTATCATATTCCTGTTTCAGGCTGATCTGATTACCTTGGTGTACACTTGGTTTCCTTGCTGTGTATGTTTGAAAAATGCAGTGCCCGTGTCTTCAAGCGCCCGCGGGACGGACTATCAAACGTTTATACGACATAGAAGTAGTGCTCGGAGTACTTCTTCCAGTTCATGGTCATCTAAGCAGTCCTCTTTACGGTCTATGGCTAGCTGTGGCAGTATAACGACCTCCGAAGGAAAGGGAACTCCGAGAGACACATGTCTCAGGAACAATTTATTGAGGAAGAATTCTGTCCTCCTTGACGTCATAAGTATCCAGGCCAAATCATCCAAGAATAATGGCCCTCGAGATGACGTGTGACCCCTCGAGGCGTCCGTCGTTTATCAATAGGAATTCTATATTGGTCATAGCTGTATTGGCATCAGAATGAAACATTGCTATTCGAAGGTACTTTTGTCATTCCTTTGGGTCAAATCTGAGGTCGCGGCCACGATCCAGTCTCGCTACAATAGAGTCTAGCTAGGCTATCTTAGATGTTTGTTGTATAGACGGCTAGTGCATAACTATCCTATGGGGAAATAGAAGTCTTCTTTTGACGACATCAGATACAAGGCTGCTGTATCGAGACCGTCACACACACTTAATACGAAGAGACATCTTTTAGTCTTTTGCTTAATTTTCTTAGTACACATAAATTAATAGATTCAAATAAAAATCTGTGTTTCTTTATTTAGATACAATTATTTTCCCTCTGATATTTGTGTCCTAATGATTCCACGGAACTACAATGTGTGAGACCTTGATGTAGATATCACTAGTAAACTCCTGTCTAATGGGGTCTGGTCCAATGATTATTGTCCGTCCGTCACCAGTTGTAAATGCTGTGAATAGAAACCAGACATCATAGCTATTTTTGTTGTCCTGAATACTTGCTATTCAGGCTAGTGGATAAGCCTCGTATGCATAAAGCAGTATTCATATGTCTGGTACAAGAGTATTTCCAGATAACACACGGTCAGTCTAATACATGTTTTACAGCAACCTCCGTACAATTACTGTACCTACTCAATTAAGATAAGTGTCTTAAAACACAGAACTATGTAGGACAGTTAATGATAAATAGGGCTAGCTAAGGCTAGAGGTATATATGATTACTAACGAGTTTCCATTTCACATGCAATTGATAAAGCAAGATGTCCAGCATTTCCCATTTTGTAAGGCTTTTATTACTTAAGTTGTGAATATCAAATAGAATGCTTGCCTATTGTCTTACATATCACTACGTTATTTGAGACTGCGACAGAATTTCCTCATATTGGCTGCTTCGTACTTGAATTGATATTATTCAGACACAAAATAAAATTTCTCAACAGTGCGTCATGTTATGCCCTTTGCGATTGCGGTCATATTGTTCATGTTAAAGTTTTCCATCTTTATTTCAATATTGTTATCAAATGATTTGCGTGTCAACTTCAGCCGTATGTAATATTTTCCAGATCTTTTTTTGTATTTGTTTCCTTGTTTGAATGTAAACATATTCACAGCAGACATTACCCATCATTGTAGACATTATATAGTTCATTTTGTTTCCTTGTTTGAATGTAAACATATTCACAGCAGACATTACCCATCATTGTAGACATTATATAGTTCATTTTGTTTCCTTGTTTGAATGTAAACATATTCACAGCAGACATTACCCATCATTGTAGACATTATATAGTTCATTTTGTTTCCTTGTTTGAATGTAAACATATTCACAGCAGACATTACCCATCATTGTAGACATTATATAGTTCATTTTGTTTCCTTGTTTGAATGTAAACATATTCACAGCAGACATTACCCATCATTGTAGACATTATATAGTTCATTTTGTTTCCTTGTTTGAATGTAAACATATTCACAGCAGACATTACCCATCATTGTAGACATTATATACTTCATTTTGTTTCCTCGTTCATATGCATGCACCATCATGGCAGGTGTTAATTTTCGTTTCCGTAAAAACTTTTGCCCGATTCTATAATTATTTTGAAGCTGTCTTTTATCGTGTAAGTATATATGTACACAGCAATACCATGAACTGTAAAGGACTAATTCTCGTAAAACAGATGTTATTACATTTTAACTTTATTATACTACAAACCTTGTATCTGGATGTAACGGTTATATCACCCATGATGATGTGTAATGATATACATGTATGCTTAGATTGTATGTCCAGACGTCGTCAGTGTTATTTGAGATTATGAGACTGAATGTGATTATTGAACCCATAATTATTTTTTTGCTGTAGATTGATTTATTATTTTGTTAAATTTGGAAATTAATAAATAAAGAAAAAAATATGATGGCCATTTTTCCACAACGTCAAATAAAACTACAATTGCCAAGCGTTACACAGTAGATCTTTAGTGGGTTTTTTGTTGTATTTTTGCAGGAATTGTCTTTCTTGGATTTAGTTTATTTTGACCAAGTTTGGCATATACAATATGAATAAACCATTTACTGTAAATATGCAATAGCTGTAACGTATACTTTGACCATCGAATCAACTTAGCACTGTGTTACTAACGGCAGTGTCCTCCTTTCTATATCTTGTTTATATCACGGTACACACACATCTATATTACATATGTAGGAATTCATTTGACGTCTGTCTTTAACCACCTTTAGCTCCAAATATATCTCCCTGTGTGCTGAAGCTCTCTATAATGATCCATTTAACACACATGCGTTAGGTTAGCATCATTAAATAGCTCGCGTTATCGAGGTTTGACGTATCATTTGTAACAACAAAAGCCAATTCACGAAACAAGTTTGTTTCACGACATACCGATTGTAAGCCAACCTTTCGCCTTCAGCGACCTGTTTTTGCATTGAGCATGTTTGAAGACAAAAATAGCAACTAAACACTCAATACTTTTTTCATTCTGCTCTCTGAAATACCTTCACGTTCAAGAATGGTTTAATAGTCATAATGCTGTAAACGTACCGTAACAATGAATTAAACATACACGACAGACATATGACCCATTCATAATTTAGTGTGACCTGTCATTATTTAAATTAAAAAAAAGGCACAAACAAATATTAACAAAACTTAATTAAATCAGAGAAATAATAGAAATGAAGTTGTTACAAGTTCGAAACTATATCAAGTTAGCATTAATATTGATTAAAATTTCACCTTGTTTGAAATCAACTCAAGGTGAACAGAAACACGGTGCAAAACGATAATTACTTAAGAAACTGGCAAGCAGGCACTATCTTGTAAATGTTTTGTAGTTTTCCTTCTTGCAAAAAGTAAAAATGATAATATAAACAACATTTTACAAAACCATCATGATAGGAACATGAATGACCAGTAGATGTGAAGTTATGTAATGACTACAGTTATTACAACAAAGGCACGCTCAAGAACAATGCCTACGTGAATTCAACGACCACCCTGTTGCTATACTTCTGAGGGAGGAGACATACACCAGCGTGTATATCAATTATATCGTTTAAGCGGAGTTCTACTTACGTTGGTTTCTTCAGTTGTTCTCGGTAATTAATTACTGAAGTAATATAGCAATGTCAGTGTACTCCCTTCGTTATAATTAGTAGTTTAACAACACATTAACCTTGGATTCCTACAGAGACGTTTCCTTCATATCTTTGACCTTATTTTTGGTTACCTTTTATGTTAGTAGAATCAGAAGGCTGTTACGCCCATCATACATACCCCTGTTTGATGTCCATATCAAAGGAGTTAGTATTACAGGTTTACCCAGTTAATTTAGTCGGTATGTATTTCGTTGTAGCTGATAACCCGACCATAAGGTGAAGGAGAAGCGGAACCAACCACCGTACGGGAACCAAATGACTATTGAATGATATATTATGGAACGTTTTAAACTAGAATATACAAAAATCCAAGTAACCAAACCTCTAATGGACCAAGTGAGGTTTTAAAAAAGTTTTAAAATGAAATTTCGAAAAAAGTGAAATCTTTCAGTGTTTTATTTCAGTTGTTCATACTTTTTCCATAGTTTCAATCGATTCTTTCAAATTTCAGGTTTGCTAATACTTGAGTGCCATTTCTATGTTTTCGTTCAAAATCACAGACGATTTAACAATTGTGACATATTTTTTTTTAAATTATCTGTCTAGACTGTTAAGATTTAAACTTAAAATCTTAAAGTGTACATGTTGCAGGACCTTACTTTGCATTCGTTTCTTATTAGCAAACGAGGTCCTAACTGCAGAATTATTTAAGTGTATTTTGGTATAATTTAGATGGATTAGTTGATGTTATAAAGTACATGTATATATAAGCATGCACACCTTGATATCATCGGTAACACTGAAGTCACACGGAAGTAAAACAAAAGTAACAGAGTTATTTGATTATCTTGATTACTACATCAATGTTCACTTTTATACAAATAACAAATTGACATAATATTTATCATTCACTTAATCAATAGAAAATGGTGTATGAAGGATAAAAAACATAAAACACATTGTTGTTGTTTTTCAAGTTTATGGAATACACGAACAAATTACAAGACATACCACAGTTATTGTACCGAGTATGAATCTTTCGATTGATTGACTATAAAAACACAATGTAGCAATGTTGCGGGCGATGTGATGAAGTTATAAAAGTGAAATGAAAAGCTTATTGCGAAATATGTAATTTATCTTATAGAGACGAAAAGGAGATACATTATGAGCTCTTATAGTTTTGTAATTAGAAATACTCGATATTTGTATAATTTGATGCTGTTTCCACCTTTTAAAGCACAATCGTATTATAGCATAAGTCTGATGTATTTTATTTAGTAAATCCGATTGGGCCTGTAATGTCAGAATCATGTAAGGATAACTGGTATAGCAGAAGTAAGATAGCGCAAGAAAAGGAAAGGGACAAACAATTTGCAAAGAATTGCAAGTACAATGAATGACAACTGAAATCCGAGGGGAACTGATTAAGATGCTGTTGACGATGCTTTAAAGCTTTAATCCCTAAGCAAAAGGCTTGCCATTTCTTAAAGTTATGATAAAGTCTTACCAATAAAAAACACACCAAAATTACGATGTAGAGACCTGGACTTGGAACAATGCTACGCCACAATACACAAATAAAAACAGATCAAAGCTTACTTATGTCCTGACACGGTAGTTCTGTCAGAGTGTTCTGTTTGCACTTAACCTGCGAACTAATAGGTAGACGAGGAACTAGAGCATAGCTTCTAAGAACAGCGTTGTTTGTGGAATGGCCTTTGGTCCAAAAGAATGAGACTTCACGAACGGAAGGAGCTGTAATTACTTTTGGCATATCGGTTACGTACATCGTATCTCCTCAA